TCCTTTCCCGCAAATTTCGGATAGATTTATTATATAGAGTATAGGCCTACCAAAGATTGTTCGTATACAATATATGGTTCAATCGGTCCAAAAAATGTCCGCAGTAAATATTTATATAAAGAAATGCTAGGCTACAGTTCCAAACAGATTTTCGCTACAGACATGACGTGTTGCCTATGAAGGGTGCTGCTCTTAAACTTAATGTGTTGTGTTCACTCATGTGCTGTCTAGATCTAGATCTATGGAGTGTTATTGATAACGACACATAAAACTAGCATCTGTGTTTGTCGCGGCCGCGACCAATCAATTGTGGCTGGATTTTTTGGCATTTTTTGGTCCCCGAATAAAGTCAAATTTTCAACAAAAAAAAGAAAAAAAAAGAAAGAAACCGAACCTCTTTACTATTGAAAGAAAGTTCACTTAGCTTCACTTCGTCTCTTTCTCACTTGTTGTCACCACGTTGATTTGTTGAATAAGTTACAATTACTTTTATTTTTCCCTCTTTGACTCTTTGTGGTGTTTTATTTTGTTAGTGTGTAATTCTTTTTTCTTGTTATTGTTCTGATGTGTTGTTTTTCTATCAATTTTTTTGTTGTTGGGGAAAAGGGGGGGGGGGGGTAGTTGTATAGTGTAACGTCATTTAATTTGATGTTCCTACCTTCATATGATTCTGAATATACATGTGTATATATAGATTTAAATGTGTTATGTTAGAGCGTCAGGGTTGGGTTGATTTAAATCAGGTTGATTTAAATCAGTTGATTTTTTTGATTTAAATCAACTTGATTTTTAAAATAAAAATCAGTGATTTAAATCACTTTTTTTAAAAATTATTTTTATTCAGTTTTTACACATTTCAAAATTCAGAATTCCTTTCCTTGGTATCAGAGCTGGGTTGATTAAAATAAGTTGATTTTTTAAAATATTTTAATCAACATGATTTTAAAAATAAAATAAAGTGATTTAAATCACTTTTTAAAAAATGTATTCAGTTTTTACATATTTGAAAGATGTAAGGTTTAGTAGACTAATATAATCATGCTTTAAAGTCTGCTTTCCCCCCTGTCACTGTAAAATAATACAGTATTCAATTGACTTTTTTTTCATAATTGAAATCAGGGTTGGGTTGATTTAAATCAGGTCGATTTAAATCAGTTGATTTTTAAAAATTTAAATCAACTTGATTTTAAAAATATAACTCAGTGATTTAAATCACTTTAAAAAAATGTATTCTGTTTTTACATCTTTAAACATTCAGAATTCCTTTCCTTGGTTTTATAAAACAGATATAAGGTTTAGTAGACTAATATAATCATGCTTAAAAGTCTGCTTTCCCCCTGTCACTGTAAAATAATACAGTATTCAATTTACTTTTTTTTTCATTATATATTGAAATTAACAACATACTTTTAGCAACCAAAAATCCCAAACTGTGTCAACATTTAAAAAAAAAAAATCTAAAAAATCCGATTTTAATTTAAAAAAATCTTGATTTAAATTTTAAAAATCGATTAAAAACTTTTTTAGTTTAAAAATCAAAAGAATCACCAACCCTGTAGAGTGTACGTTCCACCAAAACTGATTACATGTACAGACACTGGCAGGCCCCTTAATGTGTGTGATTCCATAATTTACATGTAATATCCTTTACGCACATTTAGGGTTAAAACAGCCAATCTTCTTCGGACAGGTGGACACACGCCCTTATTTGTTAATTTTTGTGGTTGTTTATGGGCTGTTCTAATTTTGATTTCAATTGGTTGTGAAACCTTTCTTTTTCACGTGTTCACACTCATCTAAAAATCTCTTGACTAGCTCTTAAAAATTAAAATAGATATAGACCTAAAAATGTGCTCCTGTGTGTGTGTGTGTGTGTGTGTGTGTGTGTGTGTGTGTGTGTGTGTGTGTGTGTGTGTGAATGCATGTGCGTGTGTCTGTGTGTGGTAGTATTAAGTGTTTAAGTGTTTAAGTGGAGAGTGAGGAGCGTGAGTGTTTGTTTTTCGGGTTTTATTTCAGCCTTTATTCAGTAACAGTTCAAAGTATACAGAAATAGAAACACAGGATCCATTCACTCCAGGGCCCATGAGTCGTTCCTCTCTTTCAGTTTCACTCATTCATTGAATTCCCGTGTTCTCTCCCGTGGCTCCTCCCCGTCCGCATGACTTTCACACCCCACCCCCTCCCTCCAGGCACACACAAATAAAATCTCACTCATTCCCTAGCACCCTGCGAACCATATTAGCAAAACATTGCCTACTGCCTTAGCCACATTCCTTTCGTTCGTGAGCTGTGGACCAGGCCTGGGGGGTCGGTGTCGTCGCCTTGTAGTTGCTGTCGCCTGTGGATACACTCGTACATTCTTCCTTTCACCTGCTCTGTCACTCACACTGTCTCTCCATCCACAGCTCAGCTCGTCATATATTCAAAAGTTGCCCACTGATCATGTTTAGTTAGTGTGTGTATAAGTTTGTGTGTGTACATATGTGCATGATGGTGGTGGGTGTGTGGTGGGTGTAACTGAAAGTTGTCTGAAGGCGGGCTTGCCATACGGTGTTCCTTCCCAGACCAGAGGCAGAATGAAAGTTAAGCCCCATTTAGACGTACAGTTCGCTGATCGACAAACTGTGGGATATCGAGAGGATGGCCGGCATCCTGTCAATTTCATGTGGAAACTGAGCAATCCTCTCGATATCGAAGGGTTTTCCGTCCAATCACCAGATATCTGGCGACGCCAGATATTTGCCGGCCGGCGAACCGAAGGAGTGACGACTGCACATCAGTATAGGCGCGGCGCTTTTCCCTTCCGTCAACCCGCAGCCACATCCCGAATCGTCAGCCACATCCCAACCTTTGACACGGGTCAAACTTCCATCTATTTATAGGTAGTTAAATCTACCGGAACATGTATAAGGCGAAGTGATGTGCAATGATAGTTGCAATAGAGAGATTGTTTTGGTCTCTCTTAACTCATCTGCACCACACGAATTACATGTATATGTTTTTCCCTGGACTTTGCCTTTACTAAAGTCTCGAATCTAGATCTAGATCTAGTTGTAATCTAGTTGCAGGTTGTAGATTTAATAAATTGCCGACAGAGAGAGAGAGAGAGAGAGA